TTGTTAAAGAGACTTTCGTTGAGATTCATCGTTTGTAAAAACAAAACAATTTTTTATTTTTTGATAAGATTTATTTTAGAAATGAAGACTTAAACAATTCATATGTTATACATTAAAAAAATATATATACAACTGTTAATTATATATAAAAAACAAAACTTTTTTTCAGTCAATTGGTACTTTATTTAAAATCATTTTGCTAATATAAAAACATTTGTTAAGAAGTTTTGATGTAATTAATTTAACTTTTTCAGAATATTTTTTTTTTTTTTTTTTTTTTTTTTTTTAATTTTAATTCACCTTCTCAAGGCTGAGAAGGCCACTACAGACGAGGAGGCTACTTATTTGTGGTTATAAACCTCTCTCAACTCTATAACTCTGATACACAAACCTTGACGAACAAGGCCGCCTCGCGAAGAAACAAGTTGAGCGCGGTACTACCAGGGACGGTGGGGATCGAACTCGGAACCACTCGTTTATGAAGCGAGCGCTCTACCACTACACCACTACCGCATTTATTTAGCGCATTTTAAACATGTTTTTAGAATTAGCCCCAGTCAAACCGTCATAGCAAAATGTAACTTGTTTGGTCATATAAAGACATGAAATTGCACGTCTTCCTTTGAAAGCCTGTATATATACTTACATATATATATATAATATATATATATATATATATATATATAATATATATATATATATATATATATATATATATATATATATATATATATATATATATATATATATATGTATGTATTTAATAGTAGATTACCATCTATGGCATGACACTTTTAGTACAAATGAAACATTAAATGTTAAAAGGGGTAGAGATCCAACAATGTTAACTTTTAGGAAACTAAAAAAAACCGGTTAAAAACTAAAAATTTCCCCTTTAATAAATTTTTGTTAATGGTTAAATAACATTTTTTATCGGTAAAAAACATTCACAAAAAAACTAAACAATCAACAAAACATTAGTATGGATGAAAAAGCAGTTTTTCTTGAATTTCTGAATGTTTACATTGTCAGATTTCTGACCTTTTAACATTAACAAGTTCTTTTGTTAATTTTGTTTTTTATTTAAACAAAGTTTATATATATATATATATATATATATATATATATATATATATATATATATATATATATATATATATATATATATATATATATATATATATATATATATATATATATATATATATATATATATATATATATATATATATATATATATATATATATATATATATATATATATATATATATTACTGTATATCTGTTATATAAATTTTTTTTAGTTTAATAAGTGGTTTGAAAGATTTTCACCTTATCTTTTAATTGAAAGTAATTTGTTTATGTAAGTTAATTTTTTTTTTTTTTTTTCAATAAAAATGTTTTTATATATTTTCTAGTTAATTTTATTCACAGTGAGCCATAAAGACTGTTAGGTTCGAAATCTCACCACCTCAGATTTTTTTTATTTAAATAACCTGAGTTAGTATAAGTATTTTTCAAAGGCAAACTCAATCAGAAGAGTTAGTAATTTATGTTTAAAAAAAGTAAAAAGGACTAAAAATTTTGCAAATAAAAGGATAAAAGCCACTATTTTCGGCTTCTTTTTTAAAAATAATTTTCAACTAATAAGAAAAATAGTTGGAGAAATACCCACAGAGCAGTAAAATTGGCGGGTTCAAAGCAGTTTGTTTGTGCAGTTTGTTTGGAAAAAAAAGGTGAATATTCAAAATCGTTATGAAAAGTACAACCATAGCAAGTATACCAAATAAAATCAAAGAGGATATTAGGCCTGAGTACAATGAAGATTTCATTGTTTGCCCTGAAGTAATATGTTCAAATTAGAGAAGAAACAATTTTTTTTTTGGAGAAGAGATCAAGTACTTATCTTCAAATAGGATGAGTAAAGTATCTCAAGTACAGAGTTTATTAAACTTAAATGATTAATACATAAAAAAAAACAATTTTTCAATTAAGTATATGTTTCTGAGTTAGGTTGACAGGCCAAGAATTAGGTGCAGTACTAAACTCAGTGATATTGTTCAACCATCTTGTGGTAAAACACTAGCTGTAGAATCTCTAAAGGAAAATATATGCAGTTGCTGCTTTTCTCTACTTGCAAGAGGTTTACAAATAAATATTAAATTATTTGATAAGTAAATAAAAAGTTGTCAAATATTTATGTATAGATACATATTTGATTATAATTATGTAAATTGAAAACAATATGTAAAATTATACATAATTAGTTTTTTACAATTATAATTTATATAATTTCAATAAAAAAACTTTTTTTTTTTAAGCTTAATAAGTTTATATAAATTTTATATTTATTTTTATTCTTAAGGAGGTCATTGCTATTGTAATTCTAATCAGGCTGTTTTAAACCTAATTAATTTGTCAGAAAACCTCGATTCCACATCATGTGAGCAAGTTGCTTCAGGCATAATTAAAAGTAAGATAAGGCGAGAAGGCATAGAGAGAGGCCAATTCTTTAAAATATCTACAGGTAGCTGAGTTTTTTATTTTCATTATAAAATTGTTGATAAAAGATTTGAATGTTCAAATAGTCATATATTATAAAACTTCATATAGTTCATATAGTTATATAATATAAAACTTAAAGGCATACAAAAATAGATGAGGCATATAATTTAACAATTATTTCGATTGTTAACTTTTTTGAAGTATTTGTGTTTTAAATATTAGTTATGGTAAAAAAATTAATTTAATTTAGTTTTACTTTATTTTTAAGGTGGGAATATATTTACTTTAACCGTTAGAACTAAAGATAATAAATCTTCCACAAAGTCTTTTGATCAGATATCATTACAAACAGTTATGGAGTTAACTTCTATACTGGAATTAACAAAAAATCAAACAAAAAAAATGATATCAAGTCTGAGTAAGAATATAGGGTCGAGTATTGCTGTTGAAAACAATGTAGTTAGCATGATGACATCATTGCAACAACAAGGGTTACAGCCATAAAATAAGTAGCCTCCTTGTCTGTAGTGGCCTTCTCTGCCTTAAGAAGGTGAATTAAAATAAAAAAAAATCTGCAGAAAATCTTGAGTAGATAAAATCTAGATGATGTTACGTATCACCTTGCATTTAATTTAAAATGTGCTTACAGCATTTTTGGTTTATCTTATGGTGTAAAGGTGAATGTAACCTAGAAAGTGGTATTCCAAGAGCATTAGGTTATTTTTTGAAAATGGAGCTAAGCAATTCCAGATGAAAGATTTTAAAAATGTGATTAGACCTTGTCTTGTTTATTTTGATAAAAATCCTGAAGTTGAAATCATTTAGTTTCACCACCAGAATTTCATCTTCTTATGGGGATTGTAACACTACTTGGTAGACTACTTTTAGACTATTGGCCTTTGTTTACGAATCGGCTCAAAGAGCATTATATATTACTTTGTGATTATCATGGGATAGGATTTAAAAGCAATAATGCCACAAAACCTTTTGAAAAAGTAGATATTTAGAAAGAGATATTTTAGCATCTCAAACTAATTTGATACCTATTGTTCATTGCCTCAGAAAGTTTTCGTAAGTTAAAGAATGCACATTTCATTTTTTGACCTACAGCATTATTCAATAATACATTAAATGCAGAGCTGAATGTTACTTGGAAAGTAGATATAGTGGTTTTTCATATTCTCTCGTTTGTGAAAATTCTTGTTATCTTGAATCATATGCTGAACAGACTGGAGAGGCTGTTCACAGCGCCTTTTAACCAAGTTGGTCTTGATATTAACGAAGGATTGGACATGGATTATGACAAACAATTAAAATCTGCCACTGCCACTTTTTTCATAGATAAGATGTCAATATATAAGTAGTTGTGTTAATATTTTTATTTCATTCATTGTTTTTTCCTTGTCATTTTTCCTTTGTATTATTACTGTAAAAGGCTCAGATGTATTAGAACTTGAAATCATTTTAAGTTTGAAGTTATAGATTATATTGCAATACTTTAAAGAGGATAATAAAGGATATTGATTTTTAAAATAATAATAGAAGGGGTTACTTTTTTAGGGGTTAACTTTATCGCTTTAAGGGGGTAAATAGGGTTAAAAATATTACGTTTTTTTGGTACTTCTGACCTTCTTTAGATTTATCCAATACACAATAATAACATATTTAAGCATCATTTATCTTATTACAAAAAAAAAATAGAGGCAAGGAAAAGTTTAATCTGGCGATCTTTATGGCACACAGTGTATTACTAATTTATCTTATAAAAGATTTTTACAAAACAAATAAAAAGTTGATATATAAATTTCCTTAGAAGTGAGTCTAATTGATTTTATTAAATGTTTTTAAATATATTTTTTTAGAACAAAAATTATAGTTAAGCATCATTTGTGTTAATATATTTATTTGTTTTTATAAAACTTATTTATTGTTAAGTACAATAACTATTTAGTCAGAAATACTTCATTTTTGGGTCTTTTAACATTTGGTACTCAGTAGACACAAAAAACCTTACTAGAAGTTGCAAAGAAATAGAAAACTCTTTAGCCAGTCAAAATCAAATAATGAACTGCAGTATTTCTCTTGTGTTTATAGCGCATAGTGGTAAGATTTGTTTCTGTTTAACATATATTCTTAAAAATTAAAACTAAAAGACTATGATCCGTGTTAAGTTTAATTTATATATATCAGAATCAAATATTTGATTGCAATATTTCTCCTGTGTTTATTGGACATAGTGGTAAGATTTTTTTGTGTTTGAAATGTATTTATAAAAGTGTTAAAACTAAAACTTAAGTTAATTCTTTTACTAATACAAGTATTTTTTTATTAACATTATAATTATTAGGTGTTTATTTAAGGTTAGTAATTTTACTAAGTTATTGATAAGTTTATCAATAATTTAGTAAATTTACTAATCTTAAATAAACACCTAATTAATAAAAAAATTATATAAATATAAATAAAAAATTTTAAAAATATAATAAAACACCTGTTAATAAAAAAATTATAATTATAAAACTGTTACCAACATTTGTATTAATAGATAAATAGGCAATATTATTGAGTTAGGCAGTAAAAAACTGTTGCGCTAAATTAGTTAAAATCAGGAAATATATGAACGTGCATAATATACTAATAATACACCTATAATAAGGATTATAACTAATAATAACATATAGCATTAATAACAGCAATAAAAAAGTTACATACGTACATATACACATACATACATACATACATACATACATACATACATACATACATACATACATACATACATACATACATACATACATACATACATACATACATACATACATACATACATACATACATACATACATACATATATAAATACATACATAAATACATACATACATACATACATACATACATACATACATACATACATACATACATACATACATACATACATACATACATACATACATACATACATACATACTTACATACATACATACATACATACATACATACATACATACATACATACATACATACATACATACATACATACATACATACATACATACATACATACATACATACATACATACATACATACATACATACATACATACATATATACAGACATACATAGGAACTAAAACCAACTTATTGGCTCCTTCCGGAAACACCGCTTTGTTGAACCAGGTATATTTTTAATTTACTTTAGTTATATAAACTTGTTATAAATTGTTATAATAAAGTAAGCTTCAACAATGTATTTTTGTTTAATTTTTATAATTTAAACTTGTATTTGTTAAAGCTGATAATTTGGTATAATTGAGTTTTCAAAAGCATGCCAATAATAAATCAAATAGAAGTGTTCTACGATATTACTTGTTCCAAACTTCAGCTAGAGATACACAATTCAATCTATTAAATCAAACATTTCATGTTCTCGAGCACGAGATAATCTTATATGCAAAGGGAAATACAAGTTTTATAAATCAAATACCAAAAAGTACAGTTTTTTTAAGTTTTATAATTCAAATACCAAAAAATACTCTGACAAATTCTAAATACTGTTGCTATTTATTATGGACCTGCCTTTCTTAAATCAGGCAAAGCGTAGCATGCCATTTTAAATGATTTTTTTGCATTCAAGACAGAATGAGAAAATGTAGTTGAAAATTCATTTCAGAATATGGTATTTGTCTCTTAAAGTTGTTGTACTATTGTTAGGTGATCCTCATATGAAAGCAGATGCTAAGCATTTAATCATTAAACAACTTTTAAAATTTATAGTTCCTGGGTTATCAGAGATTTCTGTAGAAGCTCCTGCTTTTACTGTTACCAGTAATAGTCGATTAGAGGATTTCTTTATGAAAGAGAGTTGGCTTTTTTTTACACTAGAGGTTACCGAATCTGTTCATGGGTGGCATACTTCAAGTGATTTCTTAGCGCTAGATTCATACACACATTTCACTCAGTAACTTGGCAATCTTAGTGTGACCAACGACTGCACAGAAAGAAATATTAGTTTAATTTAAAACTTTGTTCCCACAAAGTAGCTTTAGAGACAGAACATTCTTTTGGTTGTCAGGAAACAGAAGGCTAATAACAAAAAATAAGTTGTTTAAAAAACTGGTAAAGCTAAAACATAGAGTTGTAAAGTTAATATAAAATAGCTAACTGTATAAAACTATAAACAGTACTTTTTTTCTTCTACGATCAAACAAAAGTTTAGTTATAAATATATTTTAACCCGTAAAAATGACATAAAGTTCAGCCAATACTCAAATTTTAAAAATTACATGTAGCACTTCCAACGAACAAAAATATGTGAAATTTTGTATTTAGACTAATTCTGTATTTAGACTTGTAGAACAGGGTAAGCAATTTAGATTATTGGATTTTGAAAAATTTAATTTTCCTACCCTATTTTGTTTCACCCTAATTTACATGCAACAAATTTAAATTTAGAAGACAAAAATTAAAATCTTTAATAAATAAGTTAAGAAATCGATATTAAAGACATTTCAATTTTCATATTTTTTAAAAATAAATACCACTCAATACATTATTTTAAGTTGTAAGTACTACCTTATTTGGTATTGAAGTAATAGACTTACTGTAGTATTGATAAAGAAATACTTATTTAAAATTTTCATAAACTAATGGAAAAAACAAAAATAAACTAACAGTTCTATTTGTGTTAATAAGATTTAACAAATAATGATATATAAATAATATAATATTTGATAACAACCTCAAGAGACAACTTCAAAACTGAAACTGCAGCCCCATAATTCACCAGCATTATGGTGTCAAGAGACACAGATTTTCTGCAGCTATTGAATCAAACTTCCTCAAATTTTACCAAGTACCAAAAACAAGGACAAAAATTTCAAATTTGATATGCTGGACTGGATAAGGCAGCTGACCGCTTATGTCCTTGAACTAGGGGAAGAGATCAGCTCACTGAAAGCCCAGGCAACAATAAACAAGGAGACAATTACAGCTCTAAAACAAAAAGAAATTGATCTTGAAAAAAAAATTACCATCCTGAAACAAGCGAAACCAACAAGCAGCGGAGTAATAAACTCAGTCACCCTAGCAGATATCATAAAAAGGGGCACAAAAATAATGAAATAAAGCCATTTTTGTACACAGGGGTGTAGAGTCGTAAAATTAAAGTAACTACTCTAACTCCGACTCCAGTAATTGAAATTTTTTTGAGTGCAACTCCAACTCTGACTCCAACTCTAAAGCAAAATTTTTGAAAAACTCTGAATTCTTTAAAAAATATTACGCGATAAGTTAAAAAAAATTTTTTTAACAATTTTATGAAACGTTCTTTGAGGTTTAGTATGAACATAAGGTTAATTGAATGTTTTGTACATGCATGTGCAGTACCAAGAAGTTTTACCATTTGAGTCAGAGTTGCGATTTTGTTTATCGACTCTGACTCCACTGAATATGTCGCAACTCCGAATACAATTCCACAGCCCTGGTTGTACAAGTCACTCCAGAACTGAACAATAATTGCAACTAAACGACCTCCACTAACAATAGTAGTACTTGATAACCATAATAGCCTTATTGAACTGTTAAAGAGGCGTAACAAGCTAAGAACAATTGAAGGCTGCAACAATGTGTATATTGATAAAGATAAAACAAAGACTTCTGTCTTTGTTTTATCTTTATGAGTGTGAATGAGACATAAAAAAGAGAATAAGAAGTGAAAGAGATGAGCGTAACAGCAAACTAACTCACGTTGAACAAGAAAACAGAAAAATCTTTAGATACAAAAAAGAAAGATATGGAAAGCTTCTTATTGAGGGATAAGCAATGGTGTACTCCTGTGGGTGCCACACAGAGAAGACTGATCAAATTCATTGACATGTTAAAAAGACTCATTGACATGTTATTAAGAAAAACAACTCGATAGAAACTGGTCACCAATCAATAACTTAGTAACAATAACAAACAATGTTCAACATCATTATCTCAGCCTGCTAAATTATGCCGCAATTCCATAATCAAATATTAGCCTGAACAAGGCTACAAAAAGTGAATTACTTCATCAATTCAGTTTGCCACACGACGCCACAAACTTGTTATCAGCAGTATAGTAATATTATCAAACAATGCCCAACAAAAGTAAAATAAATTTCACAACTAAGGGAGTGACATGCATGACCAATAAATTAAAAAATTATCTTGACTCTTATCTCAGACATCGCTGTGGAAACAAAATGCAGCCTCAAAATGGAATAAAACTGAACTTGTAAAGGACACCGCAATGCAAGTAGAGATATAATAAGAGCATCAAAAAAAGCAAAAAAAATTACTAATAATAAGTTTAATTTAGCAAACAACAATAAAAATTCCAAAAAACTTTTTTCATATATAAACAGCAAATTAAAAATATCTACTTCAATACAAGCTTTCAAATCTGACAGCGGTGAACTGAAAAACAGTAGAAAGGATATAGCCAATTAAAACACTCATCCGTAGAACAAATAAGAGGATAGACAAAATAAACATCATAGAGGACAAAGTAGAAAGTTTATTACTTCAATTTGATGGAAAAAATCACAAGGAGTAGATAACATTCACCCATTCACTCTAAAAGCACTCGCCATTGAATTCGCCTAGCCACTATCCATCATATTTTATTCATTGTGTTCAGGAGAAATACCAACGACATGGCTAGACACAAACATAACTTGGCTTATCCTTGGATGGGTTTCTTTGTGTGAGCCAATAAGCTTGCATCGCAACTTATTATAACTAACTAAATAACTAATGAGAATTAAAGATATAAATTAGGTAAATGCATTAAAGTTTAAAATATTTAAATCATGCTCATCATTAGAAGATTGTATTTTTAAAATCAATTTTATCTAAGAAAACAATTATATAAATTCACATGAAACAAAAAAATATCTTTGTTGAACAATTTAGTTAACTTTACTTTAAACACTTAATATATCTTACTTAATGGAAAGGTCATTGAATTAAAGTTTACTAAAACCCTGTAAGCTAAATCATGATGCAATCTAAAGTTCTCTTTTTCAAAATTTTTCAAAAGTACTCTTGCAAAGTGTCTTGCATTTTTGGTATAATTC